TATATATACATATATATACATATATACATATATATATACATATATATATGTATATATATATATATATATATATATATATATATATATAGTGTGTAATTATCCTTAAAAATAATCACAAAAAAATATTAAATTTAATATTTAAAGCTTTTTGTTTTACACAGTTTGAAAGATACTCCATAAGTATGTATAAACGTAAATCAAGCTTCATTTCACCTGCACTTCTCCCTCCATGACCCCCAGCAGATGGACCAGATCTTCTTTGGACAGCTCCATCAGTCCGGCTCTCTTCATCTGCTTCCTGCAATGTTTCTGAGGCTTATTGAGAGTCCCGCAGACGTCAGCTTTCTCCTCGCTGCTCTCCTTCTCCTCCTGCTCTCTGCTTTTCTTCATCAGCAGCTCCGCTTTGCTTCCCTCTTTCTCAATGGTGTGTATTTTTGCGAGTGGCTTCAGTGGTCTGTTCTCTGGCCCCTCCATGTCACTGGTCCTTGACCTCATCTTCACCTACACGTGCAAATAAATATCATTATGAACTAGGGCTGCACAACATGCCGCTTAAGCATCAATATCACAATGTGTGCATCCACAATAGTCACTTTGCAGGATTAGATTATTTATTAAAGATTAAAAGAAATACATTATTATTTTCTGTGTGGAGTTTGCATGTTCTCCCTGCGTTCGCATGGGTTTCCGGTGCTCCGGTTTCCCCCGCAGTCCAAAGACATGCGGTACAGGTGAATTGGGTAGGCTAAATTGTCCGTAGTGTATGAGTGTGTGTTTCAATGTGTGTGTGGAAGTTTCCCAGAGATGGGTTGCGGCCGGAAGGGCATCTGCTGCGTAAAAACTTGCTGGATAAGTTGGCGGTTCATTCCGCTGTGGCGACCCCGGAATTATAAAGGGACTAAGCCGACAAGAAAATGAATGAATGGATGAATAATGTGGGCAGTGGGTAGCACAATCGCCTCACATCAAGAAGGTTGCTGGTTCGAGCCCCAGCTGGGCCAGTTGGCATTTCTGTGTGAAGTTTGCATGTTCTCCTCGTGTTGGCGTGGGTTTCCTCTGGGTGCTCCGGTTTCCAATCCCAAGACATGCGCTATAGGTGAATTGAATAATCTAAATTGGCCGTAGTGTATGTGAGTGTGTGTGTTTCCCAGTGATGGGTTGCAGCTGGAAGGGCATTCGCTGCGTAAAACATGTGCTGGATTAGTTGGCGGTTCATTCCGCTGTGACGACTGCTGATTAATAAAGGGACTAAGCCGAAAAGAAAATGAATGAATAACATAATAGGGCGGCACGGTGGCTCAGTGGTTAGCACTGTCACCTCACAGCAAGAAGGTCGCTGGTTCGAGTCCCGGCCAGGTCAGTTAGCATTTCTGTGTGGAGTTTGCATGTTCTCCAGTGTTGGGGGTGCTCCAGTTTCCCCCACAGTCCAAACACATGCTCTATTGGTGAATTAGGTAAGCTGAGTGTCAATGAGAGTGTATGGATGTTTCCCAGTACTGGGTTGCAGCTGGAAGGGCATCTGCTGTGTAAAACATATACTGGATAAGTTGGCGGTTCATTCCATTGTAGAATGTGAATAAAGGGACTAAAACTGAATAAAGGGACTAATAAAGAGAATATAGGGACTAAATTAAAGTATATTAAATTATTTTATAGCTAATGTGCATTTTCCTTGTCAAATAAACCTGACATAAATAAATAAAAATAAATAAATATTATTAATACTCTCCCTGCTGAAAAATCCAGCTTAAACCAGCCTAGGATGGTTGGCTGGTTTTAGCTGGTTGACCAGCCTGGTTTTAGAGGGGTTTTGGCCACTTCCAGGCTGGTTTTAGAGGGGTTTTGGCCACTTCCAGGCTGGTTTTAGAGGGGTTTTGGCTACTTCCAGGCTGGTTTTAGAGGGGTTTTGGCTACATCCAGGGTGGTTTTAGAGGGGTTTTGGCTACTTCCAGGCTGGTTTTAGAGGGGTTTTGGCTACTTCCAGGCTGGTTTCCAACCAATTCCACTCTGGTCTTTGCTGGTCAGGCTGGAGAGTGACCAGCTAAAACCATCTAAAACCAGCTTGACCATTCTGGTTTAAGCTGGTCAAGCTGGTTTTAGCTGGTCATTTACCAGCCTGTCCAGCTAAAACCAGGCTGGAAATAGCTGGAAACCAGCCTGGAAGTCGCCAAAACCCCTCTAAAACCAGCCTGGTCAACCAGCTAAAATCGGCCAACCATCCTAGGCTGGTTTAAGCTGGATTTTTCAGCAGGGACTTTTTCAATTATTTTTAAAAATATTTTCCAAGTGATGTTTAACAGCCAGCAATTATTTACACAGTATTTCATTTTACATCATTTTCATTTTACATTCCTTTTATTCTGGAGAAAGAAATAAAACTGCTAAGTTCAATATTATTAGCCCCCTTAAGATTATTTCTTCGATTGGCGAAACAGAATAAACCACAGTTTTCCAATTACTTCCCTAATTAACTTAACTTTAACCTAATTAACCTAGTTACTCCTTTAAATTGCACATTTTAATATGCAATTTGAAGGCTTAACTAGGTTAATTAGGTTAATGCTAGATTAATTATTTATATATCCATTGGGAAAAAAACTAAAATCCCCAGACAATGAACCATTATTTTTATACAGTGTATAGTGTAAATCCTAAAAACTCTTTTAACATCTTCTGTTTCACTAGTAGACTACAGAAGACGCTGATATCAAATGTCTGCAGTCTCTGAGCCAACTCTTAATATCTGAGTACACAGTTTGCCCTTGTAGCTGATCTGCAGCAGACTCATTTCTCATGTTCCCATGTGCAGATTTAAAGAGGGGGATTTCCCTGAGTGAGGCATGACATCAGGATTCTTGATAAAGTGTGTACACACACACACACACACACACACACACACATACACATACACACACAGCCTCCCGTATGATCTCACACCCAACAAATCTGACCTGGCTCATGTTCACATCCACAGAGATCACACAAAAACATTCAACAAATTGCATACACACACACACACACACACATACACACACACACACACACACACACACACACACACACACACACACACACACACACACACAGCTATCATTATGTTAACTTCCCATAGACGTTATGTTTATACTATACAACTTGTATATTCCATCCCCGTTCACCACCCTATCCCTTAACCCAACAATCTGCATCTTAACATTTACCAAATAGTGATTTTTGAGCAGTTTTCTCCATGGGGACCAATAAAAAAAGTCTGCAACAGAGTCAAAATGTACTCGTATTGCTATACTTGTGGAAACATTTGGTCCTCAAATTTGGTTATGAATTACATAGCAATTTTACTGTCTTCATTACAAACATGGTCATTCTTGAGGTGCAGCTGACCACAGAGAGTTGCAACAGATCTTTTAATCCCAGTTTCTTTGCAAACCCTGTTCTGTGGACATGTTTGCATGCGTCACTATGGAGACGTTACCATGGATACATGTTAATATGTGCCTGCCACTGGAATTTGGATCCTTCTTTAATGTCAGGACATTTAAAAAAAAAAAAAGAGACTTGTGGTTCTGTCGCTTCAATATGACGGTGGACACACAATACCTACACACAGCTCTGTCCAAACAGCTAACAAAAGTTGATTTTGCATCATAGGTGCCCTTTAATGTAAGGATTCTCTGTCATCTTGGGGTTTAAAAGTAGAGTTTGTGATTAACAATATAGTGTGATATATATAAAATATACAGTTTAAATCAAAATTTTTAGCCTCCCTGTGAATTTATTTTTCTTTTATAATTAGGGCTGGGCGATATAATTGATATCGGTATTTATTGACCGAACACCATTGTCAATATCGATAATAAAAGAGTTCGTTATGTAGTTTCGGTATGAATTGCTATAGTTTTATTAAAGGGTCACGAAACACCAAAACACATGTTTTGAGCTGTTGACAGTCGTATATGTGTCCCACACTGCTAAAAACACTATTAGGACACCTATATTTCACTAAAGAGTGTAAATTGGTTGTTTTTGCGTTATTTCAAGCAAATTCGTACTTCCGGTTTGAAACGAATTTTTGAAGCTGCGTCACGGTCATGACATAATAGCGTGTATTCCAGCGTGCAGACTGGACGTCTGTGCCAGAGTGTGTCTTATTACGTCTTACAGTGTGATGCATTAATGCAGGAGTAAAGCTTGGTTCAAACCAATCAGCCTGCTCTATTGTGTAACTTCATTAATATTCATTACTGTCACAGTGTTTAGACAACAGAGACGCCACGTTGTGTTGGCAAAACAAGCGTGAAGTGTTGCTTTTATAGTTTGCTGCAGTTAAGTTTTGTTTTCATTTTCTCTCTGTGAGAGCTCAGCTGGAGTCATGTGTGAATTAACAGTGTACGCGACGCTCGACAACAATAACTTACGTGTCTAAGGAGAAGCATTGTTTACCTGAGAGCTGTTCTCATCTGCAAATGCTGAGATCCGGATTCGCTTGTAGTCTCCTCTAAATAAAGACGCGGCTCTAGTTGGTGTTGATTGTCCTTCCTCTACAGATTTGGTAAGTGAGCGACCAGTGCTCTTTGTTTATTCAGTTCGTGTTTTATTCGTATCAAACAAACTATTGCACCGAGTGTAAACAAGTTAGCACTACAACCAAACTATAACCTCGTGTAGGATTTTCACCGCATTTTGTGACCGATAACACACGCGGCCGATAACTACCTGCCGTGTGCATCTAAGTTTCCAGCAAATGCTGAGGTTTTTTTCTCTCATTCGCCGTGCGGTATCAAACATTGCATGAAAAATACACGCTTAGAGCAGTTCCTTGAATCAAATATCTTGTTTGTCATGAGGGACATGAATGAATTCCCTGAATGAAAGAGCCAAACTGCAGTTAAAGTCCACCATTTAATAATTTGGCAAATAATTCGACTACAGATGTCCATGTAAACAGTCACATTGTCCGCTGTGGATGTGTGTTTTGACTCTGAAATTCAGTGCGCCCAAATAGACACTCCCACACCATGCCTCTTTCCCTCCTCCGACACTCCCCCCTAAACAGAGCTGGACACGCCCACTTTTCTGACTTTTTCCAAAGTAGAGGTGTGAAAACACCCTGCTGAAACGAGGGGGTTTCATGGCCCTTTAAATGTGGGTTCTGAGTATGTGCCTTGGATGCAATGCCAATAAGCTTAGTAACGGCAGACTAATTACTTCAGACAAACACATCGATCAGCTATTCACTAATTCTATTCATAACTTTTATGGCTTTATTTTATAACCTTGGGCTGGAGGGGGTCCGGTTCAGAGACCACAAGATTTCATCTCTGTTATTCGCAGACGATGTTGTTCTGTTGGCTTCATCAAACATGGACCTTCAGCATGCACTGGGGCGGTTTGCTGCCGAGTGTGATGCGGCTGGGATGAGAATCAGCACCTCCAAGTCCGAGGCCATGGTGCTCCACCGGAAAAAGGTGGTTTGTTATCTCTAGGTTGGAGGAAAGTCCTTA